TGGCATGGAAGGGACACTCCCCTCCGCAGACATAATGAGTGCAATTTGTGCTGCTCCAATTTCTACCTTACATGTCGCATCCTGCACTGAGATGGGCAGAGACACACTATTTCCCTCTAAATGGGTTTGGGCAGGCCCAGATTTCGGAGTCTACTTTCTGATGAATCTTCTGGCTTGGATTCCAGAACATACTGAATTTCTCAGTGCATGCCCCCATGGGGTACATAACCAGCGAGACCCATTGCTGTAAACATTGGGCAACCACTCTGGAGACCAGGATTTGACACCCGTCTTGGCCATGTTAACCCACTGGGTGACCCACTGAGTCACACTCTCTCAGCCTCAAAGCATGGCAAACGCCCTCTGGAGAACGTGCCAAGAAAAAAACCATGCTGAAAATGTGTACTAATGGAAAATCAATTCAACAATATGAGAAAAAATGGGGGGAAATAACAAAGCCAGGGGAGGTAGTGAGTAAGTCGAAAGGGAAGATGGAAGGAAGGGATATTTAAGCATATGATAAAAGAATTTAATCCCTTCCCAAAAGAGGTTACAGGGAATAAGTATAAAAGGACAATCAACTGGTGTAAGGGATAGTGAATATTAACTACTATTTTATGTTGTCAGGAAGTCAATGTGAATGTGAATATTGATTGAATATATATATAAAAAAAGGGGGAGTGGGTGGAAAGAGGGTATGATGTATGTTGTATGTAAGTGGAATTTGTTTTATATATGTGGAAAATAAAAATTATTTGAAAAGGGGAAAAAATAGGGTTTCTTAGGGTTGCCATAAGTCAGAAATGACTTGAAGGCACACAACAACTTGCCATAGGTTTGCCATAAGGTTGCCATATGTCGGAAACGACTTGAAGGCACACAACAACAATAACAAACACAGAGAGTTATGCAAAAAGGTGGGATATAAATAATATTATTATTATTATTATTATTATTATTAACCAGCAGCCCGGGGGCCACATACAGTCTCCCATATGTGACTCAACCAACCCCTAGCCACCAAATCCCCACCCGTTCCCTGCCAGTATTTCCCAATTTTCATATAGCTCACTATCTCCTTTCTGATCTTGGCCCAACTCCTGGAACCACCTCTCCAACAAAGCCTCCCAAATCTGAACCCAGGGCTGACCTCCTGGGGGTCCTCTTTGAATGTGCTGTCCGGCTGCCATCTTTGCTGCGGTGGGGCCACGTGGATCGCGTCAAAGAGGGAATTGAGGGAGCTGTTGTCGTACACATCGCCAGAGGTGATCATGTAGTTCTCAGGGTTGCTTTCCAGCTTGCTGGTGCCAGGAGGCAAGGCAGGCGGCTTGTGAGGAGAGGGGAGGCCCTCCAGACCCATCCCATTCTTCTTGGGCAGGTCAGAATATTCTTGGTTCATGGAGACATTCTCAGCCAGGAGCTTCATGAGGTGAGCCGAGTTTTCAAAGGAAGAAAGGTCTGGATCGTAATCCATCACATGGCAGTGTCTAGAAGGGGGAGAACCAGCCAGACAAAAGGACTTATCAATGCAAGACAAGATAAAATAATAGAATCATAGAACTGGAAGAGACCACAAAGGCCCCCGTCCTGCAGGAATGTACTGTGTGTGTGGGTTATGTGCCTTCGAGTCATTTCCAACTTATGGCGACCCTATCCTGGGGTTTTCCTGGCAAGTTTTTTTCAGAGGAGGTTTGCCATTGCCTTTCCCTGAGGCTGAGAACATGTGACTTGCCCCAGGCCACCCAATGGGTTTCATGGCTGAGCTGGGAATCGAACCATCGTCTCCAGAGTCATAGCCCAACACCACTGTGCAGGAATACACATAGATAAATACACAAGATCAATAGATATTTCATCATACACATGCCCCTGACATGAAAGAAGACCTTCCTATCTGCTAAGTTGTCATTTACTACAGTAAGCATGCCATAACTTGATGAACTCATTATATGAGTTTAAACAGGCAAACAATGATTTGGAACTTGGGATACTGGTTATCATCCAAATGAATTTAACCACCCATCCTCTACCAGGATGTGGAAAATGTGTGACAAAATGCCTACATAAGAGCCCTGGTGGTGCAGTGGTTAAATGCCTGTACTGCAGCCACTCACTCATAAGGTTGTGAGTTCAATACCAGCCAGGGGCTCAGGGTCGACTCAGGCTTGCATAGGTTGCTACAATGAGTGTCCAGCTTGTTGGGGGCAATTGGCTTACACATTGTAAACCACTTTGGGAGTGCTTAAGTGCACTGATCAGCGGTATAGAAATGTACTTGCTATTGCCATTGCTACCCTCCAGCTTTCCCAATTTTGCAACGACAGATCTGATCAATCCTCTATTGTCCCACTTTTTCATTTGTTTTTAACATGTCCCAGTTTCTGTTTCCTCCTACCACTTTCCCCCTTTGTTCTCATTTTGCTTCCTTTGCTGCAAATTCAGTTGAACATGCAAAAATAATGTGCACTCAATTGACTTAGTATAGGGAGAGTAGAGGAGGGGATGGACGGACTCTTGCCCTTCGCTGTAGGCTGTGGCAAAAGCAAAGTGCTGCAAGCTCTCCCATCTGGTGTGTTTTCCTCCCCCCATTTCACCCATTTTGACCACACTCAGGTTGCTTGGCCACACGTGTCCCAGTTTTTATCTGTGAAATGGTGGAAGATATGAGATGGGCAGTGGAAACCCCCTTCGTTTCCTTGGTTCCAGCCAAAGGGGGAAGGAATTTCATCCCATGCCTCCCTCATTGGTATTAATAAAAGGACAGAGAGAACCAGGAGCAATGGACTCGCTGTGGCCTTTCTGCACTTAGCATGAGAGTGATAAGCCTGGCTTTTTGTTTCAACTCCTTCCAGAACAAGCCGTGTTCTGCCTTTCATCCTCCTTGGCTTCCAGGCCTTTTTGATAACCCTCTCCAAAATAAGTGAACGGTCCACTGGCATCTCTCAGTTCTGTCCCAATTCCTGGACTCTGTGTACCCCTTTGCTATGTGTTTAACATATCTATTTCTGAACTGCTGCAGAGTTCACAAAATGCTGGTCTCCTCACTGCTTAGGAAAGGATTAACTCTTTTCCTTGCTTGGAAATGAGGATGGAGAATGGAAGCATTGTAAAATTTGGGCATAATTTGACTGTTTGGGCTGTCAGGATTGGTCATTCTTTATGCCAACTTTCCCTGAATCGGTGCTCTCCAGCTGTGATGGTTTGTACTACATCTCTCATCAGCCACAGCCACTATGGACACTGGTGATTCCATAAAGCTTTATGTAGCTAATGTCAAAACACATTCACACACCTGGGTGACCTCAGGGAGGTCATACTCTCTCAGCCTCAGAGGATGGCAACGGCAAACCCCCTCTGAAGAATCTTGCCAAGTGAACCCCATTATAGGATTGCCTTAGGGTTGCCCTAAGTTGGACACTACTTGAAGGCACACAACAACAAACCAATATCCCTTGCAAATGATGGTGTACCAGTTAGGAAATCCATTAGCTCAGCCCAAGTTTATTCTTTGCAAATGACCAGGAAGCACTGGACATGCAAAAAAGGACAACAGCCTTTTTCTCACCTTTTCCCAAGGTCATTGCGTCCCGTTGTTCCAGACTGGACGTAGCGCTTTTCCTTTGGAATCTGCAAAAATAGAAAGCAAGAAAGAAATTTTGCCTGCTGGCCTGACTTTTAGCAGCCAAGAGATGCTACTCCTTTTATTTGGAAGGATTCTACTTTGATTTCCACTTTCTTCTTAGCATCAAGATCCACTGTAATCCTTGCAGCCTGTTCCAGAGAAGATGACTTTCCAAAATGAGTAATAAGCAGAACTGCTCTGCCGACATCAGCGTGTTGCTAAGAATCTTGCTGAGGAGGAAGGCTGTTTGTTAAGACACGATGGCTACCCATACGTAGATGCAGAAAATTTCAGAAAGAATCATTATTTACATGAACAAAGCAACTAGTTGAGACTTGGCCCTCTAACCAGGTGTATCCAACTAGAGAACTAAACTACTTTAAACAATCCTTCCCTCCTTCTCCAAAATTTTTGGGAATTGTATAGTCATTTGAAAGGAGAGGAACGCTAATTTTTTGCACACTCAGCATGCTGTATAATTCCAAAAAATCTTGGCCAAGGCAGGTTGGGACATGGGGAAACCATGATGCTGGGAAGTGATTTAAGCCCTAAGAGGGGTTATAGTATGGACAACCTATTATTTGCCATAGAAGAGATTGGTGATTTGTAGTTTATTGTGGCACCACAGCTCTGCGACAGGGAAGGCTCAATATCTCACAAAACTACAGAACCCAGAACCCCATAGCCTTGAGCCAACGCAGTTAAAGCAGTGTCAAACTGCATTAATTCTGCAGTACAGGTGCAGCCAGGGTGATGGGGATTAAAACCAGGATAAGAGAGTAATGGTCCCAATTATGGTCTCTCTATGTACAAAGAGCTCAAAAGGGCAACAACAAATGTCAAGTCGCAACCTGGCCCTGAATGATGTTGAAGGGTTTTCATACCATGTAATAGTCACAGAGGAGACTCAAGGCAGCCACACTCTCGTCATCTCCATTGACTCGCATCATAGCTTTGGTGGCCGCCGTCAGAGGGTTCTCCAGGTAACTTTTCCAAGCCTCATCTTCATTCATACAGGAGTACTTCTGGAAGCCCATCCCGTCATTCTTCAGGAGGCGCACAGACCTGAAACTAGTGGAAACAGGAAAGGAGATATTGATTTGGGATATTATAGTCCAAGAAACTAATAGTTCCAAATTCTGAAACAGAGTCCTGGTTTCTGGCTCCTTCTCAGTTGCTATTTATGACTCTCTCACACACAGAGAGAGAGGTTTGTTGTTGTTGTTGTGTGCCTTCAAGTTGTTTCCAACTTAAAGAGACCCTAAGGCAAAGCTATCATGGGTTTTTCTCCGCAAGATTTGTTCAGAGCTGGTTTTGCCGTTGCCTTCCCCTGAGGCTGAGAGAGTATGACTTGCCTAAGGTCATCCAATGAATTTCATGGCCAAGCTGGGAATCGAACCCTAGCCTCCCGAGTCATAGTCCAACATTCAAACAACTACACCATGCTGTCTCTACACAGAGGTTTATTTGCATACATGTATTTGCACCCTAGTTGTGATTACATAGTATCATAATCCAGTTACTAATCTGAAATATCACTAAAGCCTTGGAACAGTTCTTCGGAAATATTATGAAATGCAAGAGAGGTGGCAGACGTATCAGAACCCAGTAACCTGACCCATCTGGCCTTGTTTCCTCCTTGCTTAGATTTTTAAATGTTCTGCTGATTATTTGGTTGCTGGAATTTGACTACTGTAATGCACTGTATGTAGGGCTGGCCTTGAAAAATGCAGCTAGTGCAAAATGCAGAAGCCAGATTGGTGTTGGATGTACATTTTAGAGAATGCATAATACTGGTCTTGCAAGAACTGCACTGACTTCCAGTTTGCTTCTGAGTTCAAGTCAAGATGCTGGTTTTGACCTGCAAAGCCAGAAATTGCCTGGAGCCAAGACATCTGAAAGACCATCTGTTGGAAACTTGAGATTCTCAGAGAAGCCCTTTTGCATGTGCCAGCACATTGTGAAGTTAGGCCGGCATGCACATGGAACAAGGCTTTCTTTGTAGCAACATCCTATGGAACTCCTTGCCAATGGAAGTTAAGCTGGCTCCATCTGCTTTGAGCTTCGGGTAAGCAGTTAAAACAGTGCTGTTCCATTGGGCCTTTGATATTTCATTCAGTCTCTATAAAAGGGGAACGATTTCTAGCTCTCAAATAGGAGACATCCAGCAAAGTGAAGCACAGTCATCCCTGGTTAATACTTGGATAGGAGACTGCCAATAACCACCAGGTACTGTAAGCTATATTTCACAGGATGGATCTGGCAAAACCACCTCTGAGTATTCCTATGAAATTCATGGGGAAATTCATAAGTCAACAGGCGACACGCACATACGTAGGTTATAAACTGCAGGCTCTTTATGTAGAGCGATCTTGTAGCACCATTGTGACTCACTGAAAGAAAGAAGTTGGCAGCAGGAGCTTTCATAAACTAAAGTCTACTTCCAAATGCATCTGAGGAAGTAGACTTAACTCTAGGAAAGCTCAGGCTTTCAGTGAGTCTCAAAGGTGCTACAAGATCTCTCTACATACTGATTCTACAGACTAACACGGCTATATCTTTGAATTCTCCTGGCTCTTTGTTATACAAAGAATCCCCCCAAATTCCCTGTACTTCCAGTGCCCAGGCTTGAAGGACTTTTTGTCACAAAACCTGTAAAAAGTCTTTCCCACCTTGCCACACTGGGCGAGAAAGAGGCCTCAGCAAATAAAAGAAATAGGAAGAGACTCCCTGGAGCTTTCATTTTCAGGCAAGGGAAAAGAGAACAAGTTGCAGAACAAATCCAAGATCTATACCGCCAGAGGGGACATAGCCAAATGGAAATCCTTTCGCCCAGCCCCACCCTTGGGAGCTTGTGCACCTTCTCTAAGCGCCACCATGGCCTCAGGGGCAAGAGTTTTTTCTCAGATCACGGCTGACTCCAGGAATCAAAAGGCAGCTCTTATGATTAGCTAATAACCACAGTGAACTTGAGAGCAAGGATTTTTAACAAGTCTAGCTTGGTTACCTGTGGCTTGGGTCCTCTCACAGCCCACACCGTGCCCCACTCTACCACAAAGTCAACATTTTGGAAGAGCCACTGGGAGCGAGTGGCTTCCATGTTTGAGGGGATGGGAAACCCATGCTGGGGTTCAAGCCTGAATTTTATCAGAGCTGGTCACAGTGTTGAACCCTAGCCCCCGAATCTACCCAACACCTTGGGTAGTTCATTTAAAATTCAGTTTAAAACTCAAAGTAGATTAACTACCCTGAGAACGTTGCCCACCGCACCTTACGCTATGACTGATGGACCCAGCAAGCCACAGTATCACTAAGATGTTGTTGTACTCTGCAACAGCAAAAAGCAAAATAAATAAATAAAAGCATCAAGCACCACCAAGCTGGTTCTGACTTTATTAGGCCACACATATTTATATATGATATATATAATATGGCCATCTATCAGGGATGCTTTGATTGTGATTTCCTACATGGCACTGGGAAACAATTCAATGCACATCAGGCCCCATGGGGCATCAGTCACCCCATCATTTTGCAACAGATATCCATACTTTGTAAGA